CATGAAATGTCGGTCCAGAGTTCTTACTTCATGTCAACATCACCAATATCGAGGACTTAGAAAAGAAAAGGTGTAGGAAACATTCTATCCGCAAATTTCCCCGGACCCCGATATGGACTTCCAAAAGGAACCATTCTCAACGGGTGCTTAGTCTAGATGTATTTTGTCCTTCTTAAAATTTTCAGTGTTCTCGCGTGGTCAATCGTTCAATCCTCGTAAGTCGTATTTCCATTCCATTTCATGCACAGTCGAAAATAAAAAGTAAAAGTCAAATCCGTGGAGAAGCAAAAATCAGAAAGCAAAGAACCACGGCAAGAAAGAGCCGCGAGGCAAGTAGATTACATTTTGTGAATGCTTCAGGATTCCTGGTAGCTCTGGGAGCCCTGGTAGCAGCTGGTACTGAGCGCAACCAGGTGCTACAGAGATCACAGGCATCAGCTACCAAGGGCTACCAAGCCATTGCGGGTGGCTACCAGGGGTTACATAAAGGGGACTTGTCGATGGCGCAATCACGGTTACAGGGACTACCAAGCAGTATGTAACCAAGTGGTTTTTTCCTGATAGGCTGCATCGCGCGCTCGAACCCCTCCGTCGCCTCGCGCAACCCGGCGTCGGAGATCTGGCGCCGGAACTCAGTGCGCTCTGCTGCTGACTCCATCTTTGGAGTATTGAGAGATCTTTAAACTATTAAGGAATGGGAGCATATGAGGCCATGGATGGTGCGCACTGCGAGTGGTACGAGAACAAACAGTCCTTGTCACGATCGTCACTGTGTCACAGGTACCCGGTCTGACTCGTCCGGTTCCGATTCCAAAATAAACTCACTGACTAAAATACGAAGCACCTTGTGGGCAGAGGCGGCAGGCGAGATAATTCCCAGTTATTTTGAAAATGATAGGCACTCGCAGGCGAGCAAAGTTCGGTAAAATTCGGCGCGCCTCCGCACCGGCTGAATTTTCGAACAGTAAGCTGCTCACCTTGTATTTGCACCATTCTTCTGGGCGCGGAATCGTCAACAACTGCTTGTAAAGTGGAAAATATTCAAGATTACAAGATCACGCTCGACGTATATGCTCTGCAGCCATTGTTTGACCGTTGCAAAAAAGAAATGTCTAAATTTGGCATTGGAGTTGGAGTTGAACTTTGGCGCTTCTCGTTTTCAGAATAACTCTCGTTTTCGTCCATGACTCTGATAATTCCGACCTTAATTGAATGAAACCAAGCAATTTAAGTTCTGTCTCAACCTAACGAACTTACCCGAGCTCTCATTTAGTTACAGTGTCACTTCCTCCACCCGAATAAGGTATGATATTGAGCAGGCCAGTTATATTTCCTTAATCTAGAGTACGTATAAATATGAATGAACAGGAATGAATCGTCACGGAAAGGATACTTGCCCTCCCCCAAAAGCTCAGTGGAGCTTCGCGACTCAGTGCAATCGAACCGTGGGAACGGCTGACGCGTCTCGTTGATCTCATCTCTGGCACAAAAATTGCGTTCAGCCGGAGTATTGAAGAAATCTGGAACCACATGTGTGCGACAGCATGGTGAGTGGTGAGAGTGGTGGGTGGACACGAAGGTCGAATCACTGTCGATCCCTCCGGATTTTGAGCTCCGACATTGATCATCATGATTGAAGGAGAGCCGGGCATCGGCTTGAATTCCGTTCGTCGAATGTTCGTTCGCCGCAAATATGCTTCCCGATTCCGAAAGCACTGACTCATTGTCTCAAATAAACCGACTCCAACGACTTGAGTGGCAAACATCCAAGTTAAACCACATAATTCTGGTTCAGCCTCCGAATTTTACAATGATGCGCTGGTGTTCGGCCGTCGGACCATTAATATCTCGCCATGCCCCGTTTGCGTCCGAATCGACGTTCAACCTTCCAATTAATTCGCGTGGTCATTCCGAGCCGGATGGACTCACCCCTCAGCGTGTTACTAAGTACTTACAGAGTTCCAGAACTCTAAATCAATTGAACAAATCACGCCAGGACCCAGCAGCTGCAGGTACCCGAGATGAATTGAACCGTCCGCGGTTCTAATGACTCCAAGGCATGCATGATTAATGACCTCGAGCACAATTCTAACTTACTTATCAGAGTACTAAGACCTCCTCCGCTCCTCCTTGATTAATCCCCGTCAAGTCGTGCGTCTCGAGCGGTAGCGTGCTGCGCAAAATGGTGGGCGCCTTCTTGCACTCCTTCCATTCTCATAAACACACTGGCAATGGCATGCCAACACGAACCCAGATGCCTCTGAATCTCGGAAAATGCCTAGATGCACCTTCGAACAAACGTCGAACAAGCGCGAAAACACATGCTGACTTTCTTCTGAGACGACTAGAACAATGTACGCCACTCCAAATTATCTCCACCTACCAGAGCCTGCGAAAACGGAAACGCCCGCCATAATTACCAAAATAAGTGCCGGAGGTAACAGGAGTGTGCGGGGTCCAGGCGATCACACGACCTTGCCGTAACTTCCATTCAGTCCGTGCGTTCTAGACTTCTTCTAGCATATTCCTTGCCCTGTCTCGACTCTCGAGCGTCGGGCGGTCCACCCACAGACCATGGACGGGCCAGAGCGCAAGGTTCTTCAGAGGATAAAGCGAATCGTCCCGGTTTGTTCCTATACATAGCGTCGCCATACTACGCGACCTTTGTATCGTTGTTCTTTATTGTATCGTGCTTTGCCGGGATCACTATAAATGCAGCCAAAGCATCCGTCCTTCTTCACCCTTGACCACCACTACCACTGCCACTCCACTCACCACCAACCACTAGTCTCCTTTAACGACCCACCCTTCCGCCTCATATACCACCTCTCCATATATCATGACCCGCACCTCCCGTTCCGCGTCGCTGCGCTCCGTGCTCAAGGACCGCTCCGAGAGCAAGACCGGCCTCAACAACGCCCTGCGCAAGAACGGCGGCGGCGCGCACAACTGGGGCAGTCTCGAGAACGAGGTGCGTTTACTTGTCTCAGTGTCATTCGTGGCTATGGAGCTGATCATGGAGCGCACTCCACAGCGTGATCTCGAGTTTGCCGGTATCGACGACGGCCAGCAGGAGCTCGACGAGCTCGAGGACAACGACGACGACAGCGCCAGCGCCCACTCGGACGAGCGTACGTCTTTGCTTTCGGTCGTGTGCCACTCCTATGTATTGACCGGCGTTATACTTTTAGTTACCTCGTATAAGAAGGCTGCCGCCTCGTCGCCTGTGCTCGAGCGCTCCGAAGAGGAGATTGCGACCGCTCGCAAGTTCAGGATGAATGCGTTCAAGGGCGAGGGTACGTGTCTCTTCTGTTCCTCGTCTCTTTCGTCTTTCATTCGCGCCACTGTGCTCTCTTCCGCCGCCACCACACTTCACTTCACCGCCATTTTACTCTCTTCTCGCGCCATGGACTATATACTAACGTCGCCCTCTCATCACAGGCGTCGACCTCGCAGCCATCGCCCGCACCTCCGCCGCCGTCTCCGGCTCGCCCCCCAAAGCTAGCGGCATGTCCGATGCCAGCGTGCGTGCTGCCTCTTTCCCTCACTCTCTCTCCATGCTAACACGTTCCTCCCTTTCTCTTCACAGTCCGTCGACTCCGTCTAACTAACTCACTATATAATCCACCATCCAACGCATCATCAATCAATCCAATCAATTAACAGTTACCAGCCTCATCAGTGTACAGTAGCAGTCCGTGTCGCACGTCGTCTAAACAGTAAACAGAATATAAATTGTACATCATCTTGGCTTTCTCCTCCGTGTAGTTCTCGCTCTGGGTCTTCGAATTCTTTGCGCAGTCGTCCCATCGCAAATGTCGCAATCGACGGCGTCTTTGGGCACAGCTTGGCGCAATATCCATCGCAGACACGCCAAATTGCCTACTACTGACTCCTGTTCGCATTCCTTCGCACCAGAAATTCTTTGAAGCTGAAACAGATGGAGTGTAAATCTGCGAGCACGAGGCGCACTTTCTTTCCATATCGCCCTGTTTCTCGGACAAGACCCCGCGTCCGGTGACCTTTCAGTGACGTCTGGCAGCCGAAAAGAGGCTAAATGGAGATAGAACCCCGTATCACGAGGCGCTACCCCAGATCATGGGGCTCGCCGGTGATCGAGCTCCATTTGGCAGGCCAGAGGACACGTTATTAAATATTTAGCACAGGGAGGTGCAGGGTAAGCCGGTGTAAACTCCACCAATCGTGTGCCCGGTTGTGGGGATGAAGCGCACGAACAGCAAGCTTAAGGTCAGCAAGAATCGACGATAGCTGACTCCAGAATCATGCAAGAAGTGGGGATGGAGCGTCAGAGGTATGGAATGGAGCGAGAAGCCTCAGTATCAAGGCGCCGCCCTGCAAAGGCCGGTGGTGATTTATGATGCAGCAGGCAGGATCGTATGATTTTTTTTGGGGGGGGGCACACGACACACGACAAGAATAACAAAACATGACTAGGTGTGGGAGTACGCACACGAAGGACAATGCCAGCGGAGCGGCTTGTCATGATTCGCGATTGTTGTCGCGGCATTTGAGAGTCACTGTTGTCGCGGCATTTGAGAGTCACTCATCGCGAGGCCTAGATTGACACCCATCGCGAGGCTCTCGTGGAATGACTGACATTCATCGCAACAGCCATGTGCCGAAGAACTACAGAGCGCACACAACATCAACTTCGAGATGTTCGAATTAACACTGGAGATGGATGGTGTTTGGGCTGTGGATGGGAGACGGGGATATCAGAGATCGGTGGAAGATGAACAGACTCCCAGCAGCGTAAAAGACGCGCCGAATAAGAGTAAAAGACGCGCCGGATGAGAAAAGAACCGTTCATTGGTAAAAAAAGACGCGTCGAATAATCGAAACAAAGACGCATCTAATAGAGGTGATCTCCGAGACTACGGCACGGAAATAATGACGGTGCTAGCCCACCAGCTCCTGTTCAATTTCAAGACGTGTCCTTGAAAATGTTGCACAAAGAAAAATAAAAAAAATAAAAAAGCTGACCCGACTTCGAATCGAACAAAGACTTTCCACTTAGATCCTAGTAGTAAATTGTACAGTGAAAGTAGACGTGCTAACCACTATACCACCGGACCGTAGTTGAGGCACCACACCACTGAGTATAGTGGGAAAATAAAATTGAGCCCCATTTGCTTGTCCCAAAACTAATTCAGAGGGAATTAGATGCGAGTAAAAAGTCCCCCCCATTGCGTCCATTTTCTTCCGGCACGGGGCTGTAGCTCGTGAGGGAAGCAACTGCGTAAGTTGAGAGGTTGGTGAAAAGAAGGAAGCTGGTGTAAGTAAAATTATCTTTCGAGAAAAGGAATAAAATGAAAAAGCTGACTTCGAATCGAACAAAGGCTTCCTATTTATGTCAAGCACCGGAGTTACTTAAAGTAGGTGTGATAGCCACTACACCACCGGGTCATACTTGAGATACAACTCAACTGATTATAGTGGCGAAAATAAAATTGAACCACATTGCCGGTCCAAATACAATACAAAGTGAATGATATACAAACAGCGGGCCCGGGGTCCCACGAATTGTGTCCATTCCATTCCGGTACTGTTGCTGTAGCTCTGGGAAGAAAGCAAACCCATAATTTGCGTAGTTGGTGAAATAAAAGTTGGTGAAGGAAGGAAGCTGCGCGGAGGCAGTAAATTATTTTCGCTGCGGTCTCGACTACGCATAGTCAGGAGTCAGGCTCCAATCCGGTGTTGTACGCCGTATCCGCAAATAAACAGCATGCACTGCTGCCATGATGATGTGAGGTAGAACGGCACGGCGTTCATAATCAGGTCGTGTGATGTGGCTGCTCATCCAATCATCCTCCTCCGTTTGAATCAGAAGACCACCGCCGAGCATGGAAGCGGAGGACCAACGCCGAAGCGGAGAAGAAGCGGAGGCGAACGCCCACGATGGCGAAAATACGCGCATCCGCAGCAGTTGTATTTTGGGAGAAGACTTGGCATTGGCAGCTGGTGGGCGTTAAAAGAATTCATTCGCTTAGGACCTGGGAGCGAGGGAACTTGGAACACCCAATTCGCGAAGCCATTCCATAATGCCATTTGCTTCCCTACAACGCGAAACACGATGCGACAAAAGAAGGATAACTGCTAATATCAGAAGAAGGGATACGGAGTCGTTAACTAACCGAAAACGGACAAGGAGAATTAACTCACTCCACAAAAAGGCGGAAGGTATCCCCCCCAAAAAAAGGTGCAAGGTAGCCCACTCCCCAGAAAAGGTGCAAGGGAAGATAACCGGCCCCACTAAGAAGGCGAAAGTAAAACCCAATCCGGAATGGTTTTGATACTATATCATACCTGTTATCAGATATTGCGCCCGCCAAGGCTTAAAGGAAAGGAGGAACGTGCGCTGATAAGCCGTTCCAGGTTTGAATTTGATAAGCCATTCGAAGGGTTAGAGCTGATACTCCAGATACCTGATCGCGGACAGAGCTGAGCGCTGATAAGCCGCCGCAAGAAATATCAGCGGCCTTTCAATGTATCAGAATCAACGGACAACCCAAGTAATATCGGAATCAGCAGCCATTCCAAGTATCAGCGCCCATTCGAGATGTCAAACAGCAAAGCCCGCAGACACCCTCGATTGTGGCAGAAAATAGATCGAATAAGCAGCAGAATGAACGGCATCGGTTGATGTATGCAGCAGAAAGCAGAAATACGCTAGGCTGTGATTGCGAATCGGTTGATTCCGATGGAAACACAACAGGCTTGATTCCGAGGGAACCACAGCAGCAGCACAGGAAAGAGTCGTCCGCTCGCAGAAATCCCGCAGGCATCGCGCTCAATTGTGCAGAAATAAACTATACCATAGCCCCGGGCGGTTAGCTTCGGGTATACGAGCATTCCGGCCAAACGCAGCCGGCGAAAAGCCGATATTGGAGTCTTGAGAAAGAGCCAGTAAGTCAGAAAGCCGAAGCCGATGCCGTTGTGGCGAACACCGTATATTCGGTGTATTCACTCGTCAAGGTAAAAGCCGGATGCTCGCAGAGGTGAGAACCGGCTGCGAGAGCGAAACCGAAAGCCGGTGCCGCACCAGAAAAAAAAGTTAAGTCTAAGTAGACGGTTGCGCAATTTGATGCCGCAGTGCCATTTTTTCTTTCTTTTCAATTCTACCGAAAAGGATTAGGCTTTTGGAACTTTCCAGACGGCGAGAGGTCGTGTCGTACATTGCTTGATACGCAGAGGGCGGAGCCGGAATTTCGGAGAGTCCGTATCCGAATCACAGTAGAGGCCCGAGCCGGAATTTCCCCGAGCCTGGCACGCAGAGTTCCGAATGACATTCATCGCGAGTCTAGCGTGGAAGTGCCGTTCTTTAGCAGAAAGATGGTATTCACGAATCAGCGAGTCGAGTGGTGAGGGAGTAAGGGAATCACATAGATCTCCACCAGCTAGAGAAGTAAGGTGGTGCATAATCTGCGAGGTGTTGCGCGATTTGGTGCCGTAGATTCGTTGCGTTTTGGCAACTTGCTCTACGAGTATTAGGCTTTTGGAAATTTCGAGAGCGAGAGAACAATAACACACAGAGTGCCGAGCCGGAATTTCCCTGAGCCTGAGACGCTGAGATCCGGAACTTTAATGACATCCATTGCGAGAACGATTCGTGCCGTTGTTTACAGCAGAAAGATAACATTCATGTATCAGAGAGTCAACCCGTGAGTGATGGAGGAAATTATGTAGATCGCCGCAAGCTAGGGAGTTGCACAGATCAAGTGTTTGCACGGACGGATCCAACGAGTCAAGGGAGTCATTGGAACCGCAGATTATGGCACATATATTCAGTCCCGTAAGGTTGGGAGATGGATCTCTCTGTGTCCACGTGTCTCTGAACTTTAACTTTAAGTAGTTCGTGATTGGGAGCGTGCAGGGAAGAAAGATTTCAGGAAACTGAGAAGGACCAGTAGACAAGCCAGTACCGGAGATTGAGGGTTATCCGAAGTGGGCCGCTGGGCTCACTTCAATAAGAATAGAGAAGACATTTCTGTGGATCTGTGTGTCTTTGTATCTTCACTGGGTCAAGGAAGGATGTGGTGAAATCTTGGATGAACGTTGACAGAAAACGTGTCAGCAAGAACGTCAATCAATTTCGGTCCCGACGATCTCCGGTGATTGATCAGCGATCATGGTTGGACAGTCCGGAAGAGTCCGGACCGGTGGAGTTGAAAAGAGCTCTGTTTCGATGTTGTAGCTTGTGCCGCCGCGAGCGTGTAGTCATGAGATTTTATCGGCTTCCAGAGTTTTCTAGAAAATTGGCAATTAAGATCCATAGCTCTATACCCTTCTCTTCACAACTCCCACAGGTATGTCCCCGACAGACCCTCGATTACAGCCTGAGGTCATTGGTATCCTCGAAAATTTAGTAAGTACTAGATCGCCCATTAAGGTCTAGTTGACAATGGCAAGTTGAACGGCCAAATTTGCCATAATATTCTCCAGCCATTCCCGGATTTAGAGGCCGCGGAAACCGTTGATGGTAAGTTAGTATAATTACTTTAATAGCCATCAGTGGGACGTCTGGCCAAAAGAATTCACCAAAAGCCGACAGGGAAATGCCAGAATGCCCATGCCGTATGTAGCAGGGTCTAAAGCCAACACGGAATCAGAGCCACTTCGAAGAGCCTCGAAGTCGCGCACATCGCCGAGCCAAGTACCGATCCCTGAAATATCTGGATCGGAAGTTGCCCGCGGTCACTTCACGCGCAGAATACAGTAGTCATTCCAGTCTGAGTTCAAAGTCCACAGACTCTGAGCGTGACAGAGAGGAATAAGTCGACACGAAAAAAATGTCTGAATCTTCAATGGAAGTAGACTGATTTTGAACTTAACAGGAAATTTGAGTTATTGTTCAAGAAATTCAACTTGATGAATGCCGTCTGCCACATTAGTTTGAATCCCGCGTTTTCCACAAAAAAAAGTCGAATTGATGAAGAGTCATGAACTTCTTTTGGAAACGGAGCCCGCCGTTTGGTGGATCTGGCAGTGTGAACAGCATGGAAGATCGAAGTTGAAAGGTCATGATCAGTTGCTGCTTCGGCGGTATCAATTTCTGATGTGGATGCGGTGATCTCCGACTGACGACCCTTAAACGTTGCACTCATGAGCAACTCATGAGCCTTAGGCGTTCATGCAGCTACGGCACCGCACACTATTAGGATTCTGGCCGTTGCCTCATGGAACTCCAGAACGACTGACTTCTTACGTTTTGCGGCTCAAAATAACCACTGGATTTACTGGCACTTTTCAATTTCTTCTTTGATTCGTCAAGTCTGGCGCAACTGTTTCAATAGGATTCCCTCGCAGCCTTGTTAACCGATTCCCCTTCTCACCTCTTCTCACAAGTGTCAATGTTCACCCAGGATCCGGAGCGGCCCTTCAAGCGTGTGGCGGTAATTGGAGTTTTTAAGTATACGATAAGCCTATCCTCCAGCATTGCATAATATCTGGATTCTGGATGGTTGGAGTCGTTCTTTGCAGCGGAAAAAGCGCACGCCTCTAGAGTTCCTTCTCATTTTTCTCGCAAGTTCGCATTCACCAGTGCCTGTAGGCAACACAACTCAATCTCGACGCTGATCACTCCGTGCTTGCAGCGTTTTCAGCCTTCATAAGGCCTTTTTGCGCCAAACCGCTCCAACACCCAGGTCTAGCTTTGATCGCCGAAGCTTCTTATTCACAGAGCGTACGATTTCAGCACGAGGTACGTGCATGGTTCTCCCTTATAAAGCGCGTTCCCGCAGTCCGCCGAGGGGCATCGACAATGAGCTCCTCTTCCCGATTCTCGAGTCGCTCGTCGTCGCCGCTGTCGCTTCCCAGTCCCCAGTCTGTTGCAGCAACACCAGGACCGGACTGGTCTCCTCGTCCTGGAATGTCCATCGGCCTTCCGCACGGCAGTCTCCCAGGCTCGACTGCCGTCAGTCCGTCATGGTCCCCTGCGCCAGAAAGTCTCGCTCTAGGTGTCGATACCCCACCAGAGTCCCCGCGTGGATCAGACGACCTGCTGGACGACGGGATTTCAAAATACCCTGACTCTGTCGCAGTTTGCTCCGTCAATCCCCGCTACTATTTTGACGACCAAATATCCTTTTTTCAGGTGAGTATATCCTTATTCCGTCGACCTCCCCTTGCCTATACGGCTAACTTTAAATTTTACCTACTTAGGTCGAGAATCAAAAGTTCAAAGTCCATCGCCACTTTCTCATCCGGGATTCGATTTACTTCCAAGAGCTTTTTGCGGGACCTCTCGGCGATTTCGGAACTCGGGAGAGTGAAGCCATTCCACTAGAAGACGTCGGCAGCGCAGAATTCGAGTGCCTTCTCGATTTCTTTTACGATGGGTGAGGTCTACATATGAATCGCCTATCTTGCGCACCTATTTATACGTATGAGAAGCATGTACCGACGTC